ATTTTCTGATATCATCTTCAGTTTCTTCCTTTTTAAAATAAATTTGTATTTAAATAAAAACAATCTTATTTTACATACCAATCCCAATTCCCTCTCCCTCTCATCTTCCCAAGGCCCCCACCGACCCACCACCCCACCCTCCATCCACTCCCCAGAGAGGGTGAGGTCTCCCATGAGAGATCATCAAAGTCTGACACATCATTTGGGACAGGACCTAGGCCCTCCCCCATGTGTCTAGGCTGAGAGAGCATCCCTCCATAGGGGTTGAGCTCCTAAAGCCCATTCATGCACTAGGGATAAATACTGGTTCCACGGTCGGAGGCCACATAAACTGTCCAGGCCTCCCAACTGATACCCATGTTCAGGGGGCCTGGTTCGGGCCTAAACTGGTTCCCCAGCTTAGGGGTCTGTGTACTTCCACTTACTTAGGTCAGCTGTTTCTATGGGTTTCCCCAGCATGGTCTTGACCCCTTTGCTCATCACTCTTTCCTCTCTATAACTGGATTACAGGATTACACTTTAATTTCATTCTTTATGTACTTAAAGTTCTTGTCATATAGGTCTTTTACTTGTTTGGTTAGAGTTACCGCAAGACTTTTATATTTGCAGCTATTATAAATGATGATGTTTCTATGATTTCTTTCTCAGTCCTTTTATCATTCATATATAGGAGGGGTAGTGAGTTTTCTTGAGTTTATCTTGTATCCGCACACATTACTGAAGGTGTTTATCAGCTTGAGGGGTTCCCTGGTAGAGTTTTTGGGGTCACTTATGTATACTATTATATCATCTGCAAATAATGATAGCTTGACTTCTTGTTTTCCAATCTGTAGCCCCTTGATCTCCTTTTGTTGTCTTGTTTCTCTAGCTAGAACTTCCAGTACTATATTGAATAGATGTGGAGAGATTGGACAGCCATGTCTTGTTCCTAATTTTAGTGGAATCACTTTGAGTTTCTCTCCATTTAATTTGATGTTGGCTGTCAGCTTTCTGTATATTGCTTTCATTATATTTAAATATGTTCCTTATATTCCTGATCTCTCTAAGACCTTTATCATGAAGAGGTGTTGGATTTTGTCAAAGACTTTTTCAACATCTAACAAGATGATCATGTGGTTTTTTTTTCTTTCAGTTTGTTTATATGGTGGATTACACTGACAGATTTTTGTATGTTGTACCATCCCTGAGTCTCTGGGATGAAGCCTGCTTGAACGTGGTGGATGATTTTTGTTATGTGTTCTTGGATTCAATTTGCCAGTATTTTACTGAAATTTTTGCATCTATGTTCATGAGGGAGATTGGTCAGTAATTCTCTTTCTTTATTGCATATTTGTGTGATTTTGGGTATCAGGGTAACTGTAGCCTCATAAAAAGTGTTTGGCAATGTTCCTCCTGTTTCTATTGTGAGGAACAATTTGAGGAGTATAGGTATTAACTGTTCTTTGAAGTTCTGGTAGAATACTGCCCTGAAACCCTCCCATCCTGGGTTTTTCTTGTTTGGTAGATTTTTGATGACTGCTTCTATTTCCTTGGGGGTAATAGGTTTAATTAAAATGTTTATCTGGTCTTGATTCAATTTTTATATGTGGCACCTATCCAGAAAATTTTCCATTTCTTTTAGATTTTCCAATTTTATGGCATACAGGTTTTTGAATTATAATCTAATGATCTCTGGATTTCCTCAGTGTCTGTTGTTATGTTCCCATTTTCATTTCTGATTTTGTTAATTTGGATATTCTCTCACTACCTTTTGGTTAGTTTGGATAAGGGTTTGCCTATCTTGTTGATTTTCTTGAAGAACCAGTTTTTTGTTTCATTGAATCTTTGTATTCTTTGTTTTTCTATTGTATTGATTTCAGTCCTCAATTTGTTTATTTCCTGGCATCTACTCCTCCTGGGTGACTGTGCTTCTTTTTTTTTCTAGAGCTTTCAGATGTGTTATTAAGTTACTAGTGTGAGATTTCTCCACTTTCTTTATGTAGACACTTAGTGCTATGAACTTTCCTCTCAGTACTGCTTTCACAGTGTCCCATAGGTTTGGGTATGCTGTGCTTTCATTTTCACTGAATTCTAGGAAGTTTTTAACTTCTTTCTTTATTTCTTACTTGACCCAGGGATGATCCTTTGCAGCTCTTAATATTCTTACTTTTTTCTGTATATTTTGTGTTTTTAGTATTATGTGGTGAGAGGACTTTTTTTGTCCAGTCTATTTGGTGCTCTGTAAGCTTCTTGAATCTTTACAGGCATCTCTTTCTTTAGGTTGAGAATGTTTTCTTCTTTGATTTTTGTTGAATATATTTTCTGTGCCTTTGTGATGATATTCTTCTCCTCCTTCTATCACTATTCTTCTTAGATTTGGTCTTTTCATGGTGTCCCAGGTTTCCTAGATGTTTGCTGTTATGACTTTGTTGGGTTTAGTGTTTTATTTGACTGGTGAATATATTTCCTCTGTTGTGTCTTCAAAGTCTCAGATTCTCTCTTCTATCTCTTGCATTCTGTTGGTTATGCTTGCATCTACAGTTCCTGTTCATTTACCCAGATTTTCCATTTCCAGAATTGCCCCTATTTTGGTTTTCTTTACTACCTCTATTTCAATTTTCAAATGTTGGACTTGTTTGATTTATTTTTCTTGGTTTTCTTGGCTTTCTTTAAGGGGATTTATTGGTTTCTTCCAATTTTTGTTTGTCTTTTCTTCCATTTCTTTAAGGTAATTTTTCATGTCTTCTTCAAGGGCCTCTATCATCTTCATGATGTTATTTTAAGGTCATTTTCTTCTGTCTCTTCTGCATTGGGATGTTTAGGTCTTCCTCTTGTAGGACCATTAGGTTCTGGTGTTGCCATATTGCTCCTTAGGGTGTTGAATGTATTCGTGCATTTGTGTCTACCCATCTGTTCCTCTAGTCAGTGCAGGTAGTGTCTTTGCCTCTTGATCCAATCCTTGCAGACAGTGTTTGTGTCTCAGGGATCCTTAGTTGGACTGATCAGTGTCCCTGCTGTCTGTGTCTTAGGGAGCCACTCTTGGTCAACTCTTTTAGTCTTCTCTGTGCAGTTGATGTCTGCATCTCATGAAGCTGCTGAAGTTGGGAAGGATGGGTGGGTTTGGGAGCAGAGTGTGACTTGTAGGTTACAGGGTCTGGTGGGGGGTGATGGTGTAGCCTGCCTGTACAAGCCTTTCCTGCTACTGGCTAGTGCAGCTGAAATGTGTGTGGGAGGGGCCTGGACTTTTTGCCTGAGGACCTAGGGCCTAAAGGCAGGTTGGTTCAGATGGGAAGCTGGACACTCACCTCTCTGTCCACTCCTGTGATTCTGAGACTCTTATTTAATGCTTTGTATCTCAGCTTTATCATAGGTTCTCAGAGCTCACAGATTGACCCCAGTGTTAGAGCCAGAGAGGACCCATTAAACGCTTGTCATATGATTACATATGATATTGATCAGGAGGTGGTAAGAGAACTTTCCTCCAATCCTAATGACCCATATTCCACTTTGGGAGCCACACGATGGAAGAAAGTGGAATTACACAAATTGTCCTTTCACCTCCATATGTGAGCCATGGCCTGGGAACATACACACACACACAAACAAACACACACACACACACACACACACACACGCACGCACGCACGCACGCACGCACGCACGCACGCACGCACGCACGCACGCACGCACGCACGCACGCACGCACGCACGCACGCACGCACGCACGCACGCACGCACGCACGCACGCACGCACGCACGCACGCACGCACGCACGCACGCACGCACGCACGCACGCACGCACGCACGCACGCACGCACGCACGCACGCACGCACACGGCCACAGTAAATAAATAAATGCAAACAACTAAAAGCATTTGTTAAATGGATCAATGAGTGTGAAGTTGATCTTGGCAGGAACTGGCCACTATAGGGCACACATCATGAAGGTGGAACGAATAGGGGATGTTGGTTTTAAAAGCACCAGAATTGCACTGTTTTGATCAAACAACTATGACCCAACAGTGAGGTGTCCAAGTAGACCCTAAGATTGTTGCAGGGACCAGGGACTCTGGAAGCAGGCTCAGTAAACTGAGTCTTAAAAGCACAGAGGGGTCATGAGGATAAAGATCACACTCAGAGCTCCGGCACTTTCCTGTTTCTCCTGTGACATCTTGAGTGTGTGCCTACACACAGAGCCCTCTGTCTCTCCTGTGACATCTTGAATGTGTGCCTACTCACAGAAGCCCCGTGGCTTCTCCTGTTACAGCTTTCTGCTCAGGTGTGAAGACAGAGTTCTAGTATTCCAGAATAGTTTCAGAATCCATGCTATGCCTTTCCAGAAGGCCTAAAGAAGGAACAAAAACAGCAAAGGTGACGGTGGTGGCTATTCTTGGTTGTCAGCTTGACTAGATATGGATTTAACTGGAATTCAGAAATGGGTTTCATGCTTGGTTTAAAGTGGGTGAATTTACTTCTTCCCTGGATATTTGAGGTAGGAAGACACATGCCTTTGATCAAGATATTGAGGTAGGAAGATATATCTTTAATATGGGCCAACCTACTAGAAGCCTATATAAGAACATGGGAGACAGAGGGTTTGGCTCTTTGCCTGTTTGCTCTCAACTTGCTCTCAATGCAAGTCCATTCCTTCACTGGCATTAGAGCCTACTTCTTCAGGATTCCAGCATCTACTGAAGACCAGATGAGACATCCAGGCTCGTGGACTGCACAGCTTCTGGATTCTTGGACTTTCTATTCATAGCCAGCCACTGTTCAACTAGAACCATAACCTGTAAGTTATTCTAATAAATCCCATTTCTCTATACTTACATAGAGTAATTCATTCTATAAATCTTGCTACTTTAGAGAACCCAGAATAATACAGTGACTTTGCCTGCCTCCTGGCCTTGACTCCTGTCATTTCTGACTAATCCATTCCCCTACAATAGGACTTTGCCCCACCACACCAAGTTCCCGCCTACATCCTTTTGATTTAAATTCCTGCCTGGGCAAGCCACACAGATTCTGCTTCCTGTTTTTGAAACCATCCTACATAGCAGCACAGACTGAGAGCTGATCATGCCACTGAACCAACTTCATAGCTGGCTGAATGCTATGCTCGTTGGACTCCTGCTTCTCCTCCTCCATGTGCAGGGTGAGGCTCACTAAGATGACAATGGGGAATGATTAGAGTCAGAACGGCCAAATTCTGCAAAGTCAGAGGCCTAGCTTGTGAGTGAAAGGGTGGGGGAAGGGTGGGCGATGGAAATGCGAGCCTCTCAATCCCCTGGCCAAAGCCCACAGATTTTGTGGGCCCACTAGCACACAGAGGGTCAGAGAATCAAAGATCACTCCATCCCAAGGAGACAGCTCAGTGTAAGGAGCTCTGGAGAGTGCCAGACTATTAAAGAAAAAGTGAACTGAAGGACTTGTTCCCTCTTCAGTGTGTGGCTATGACTGCAGCTACAACTGACCTTGGATAAGAATGGCAAAAATCATCTCTGTGAATTCCAGGCCAACCTGGTCTATAGAGTGAGGTCTAGGACAGCTAGTTCTACACAGAGAAACCCTATCTCAAAACAACAACAACAAAAAGAATGAAATAATCATAAATTCATGTAGACAAATAGCTATGAGGGTATGACCTCTTTGGCCAGAGAAACATTCTGCCAAATAAACATTCTGAAACCCTTCAAAGAGCAATAGGAAAGGTTCCTGGCCCTGGGGAATAGGGAAACTTTCACACTCACTCCCCACAGCTGAACTTGGTGCTCCTGGGTTCCCTTCCTGTGTGCCCTGGTAACAGTGAGATCAGAACTCCCACAATCTGCTGGCAGCTGACTGCACAAAATTAACCCTGATGGCATCTCTCCACACAGGTCAGGATTCATCAGAGGCCAGCCCCATCAGGAACACACACACAGGCCAGGTCCGAGGCAGCCTCATCCAACTGAGTGACACCAAAGTTGGTGTCCACAGCTTCCTGGGAATTCCCTTTGCCAAGCCACCTGTCGGACCACTGCGCTTTGCACCTCCTGAAGCCCCTGAACCATGGAGTGGTGTGAGAGATGGGACCTCGTATCCAGCCATGTAAGTTTCAGACCCAGAGGATGTCTGGCGCTGGGATGAACAGATGCTGTGAGCTCTAAGCAATGCTGAAGTGTTTCCTCCATTTCAGTGCCATAGCAGTTTTCTCTTATAGTGGGGGAGTCCACCATGAGTTTTTCTGATGCATGTGCTAAAGTTGCATAGAACAACCTTGCCAGTCTTCTGGGTCAGAGCTTGGCATCCACAGGAAGTCAGGTGCAAGTACTACAGAGGGGAATAAAATCAAATTGTTCACAGATTCAAATTAAGCCCAGTGTTCTCTGCCACAATGGGAGGGATCTCTAGGCATGAGTTGTGTGAGCTATTATGCAGAGAATGTCCCTGAATCCAGTAGAATACACTAAGAGTGCAGCAGTGATGGATACTTGCTAACTCCACCCTCACAGTCACTGTGACAACCTAGAGAGCCAAGTGCCAGTGACCAAGTAACAAGGATATGTAACTAATTCCCTCTTGAGACAGTGTAGGAAAAAGAAGTTCCCTGAGAGTGTGTATATGGGATACTGTAGACTTTAAGGCACTATATTCTATTGATTCCTATAGTGCCTATGGAAAATAACACCCTAATATTGCAAACTTTGTTTTCTGTTGCTGTAATAAAGCACTAACAAAAGAAACTAAGGGGAGAAAGCTATTATTGAAGGTTTCAGATTAGAATCTATCATGCTGGGGGATTCACAGTGAAGAAAAATTACAGGAGCTGGATATATCACATCCATAACCAGGAAGAGACAGCAGAAAATGCTTCTATGTCTGCTAATGCTTAGGTCATTTTTCTATTCTTATACAATTCAGTGAATGTCACCACATACAGCCAACCATTTCCATGCAAACACCTAGAAGTCTATATATCCCAGACTCAGAAAGACTAACATCCAGGCCCCATCCAACCACATGACTTCCTAGAATTCTGGCTCCACTCCAACTTTCAAGGAGCCTGTGGCCTTTACCTTGTGAGAAGGACTTTAGAGGGGGAATATGTGTTAATAGGACATCATGAGGAGCAGCAGATGAAGGTGTCTGAGATAAAACCCAAACTCACATTTGACTTTGACCACCATACACCTCTTGGAATAACTATCTCCCTTTTTGCCAGTTGTCTGCAAAATGTTGATATGATGAATTCAGAGAGCCTAAAGAATCTAAAAATGACCCCGCCTCCCATTCCTATGTCTGAGGACTGCCTGCATCTCAACATCTACACACCAGCTCATGCCCATGAGGGCTCTAACCTGCCTGTAAGTGTCAGGCCATGGTCAACTTGGGGAGAGGGAACGTTTTTCAAGATGATTAGAAAGGGCAAAAGCTCCATTTCAGTGGGGGTTCTATTAAAAGTGTTGCCCTATTTGGGCCAAAAAGGCCTTGTTGGCCACACTATGCAGCTGAAACCTGGGCATGGGACATAGCACTGGAGTGATCAAAGGCTCTTTGATAAAACCAGGACTCGTTCTACAACCTGAGACCTGCATAACCACTTAGGTGCTCAAGCCTCAACATTGAGGTCCCATTTCTATTTCTAGGTTATCTGTTGTTTCAATAAGATGGTCCTTTCCTTTTAAAAATGCAGAGATATTCATGGAGACACCCCACTTTGTTCTACTATAAAGTGTGAATAATGATGAGATTACTCTATCCATAGAGCCATTAATTCAAACTGAGATACATGGTAGGGATGGGGACTAGAGGTGGGGCTACTTAGATGTTCCTATCTATGACCAAGGCCCTGAAGTCCTGAGGATTTTATACAGTGTGTAGCTTCACACAGTTGATACTCTAGTAAGCAGTCCTTCAGAGCTTACTTTTGGCTAGGAGCTTCATGGCATCTCTCTTGACTTCTCAGGTGATGGTGTGGATTCATGGTGGTGGACTGGTTATAGGAATGGCTTCCATGTATGATGGATCCATGCTGGCAGCCACGGAAGATGTGGTGGTAGTCACTATCCAGTACCGCCTGGGTATCCTGGGCTTCTTCAGGTAAGAATAGGACTGAGCTGAGCAATGTCAGCTGAGAAGAACATAAACAGCCCTTTGATCCATGTCCCTTCCACTTCTCAGCACTGGAGACCAGCATGCCAGAGGCAACTGGGGCTTCTTAGACCAAGTGGCTGCCCTACGCTGGGTCCAGCAGAATATCGCCCACTTTGGAGGCAACCCTGACCAGGTCACCATTTTTGGCGAGTCTGCAGGTGGTATAAGTGTGTCTTCACATGTTGTGTCCCCCATGTCTAAAGGACTCTTCCATGGTGCCATCATGGAGAGTGGAGTAGCCCTGCTGCCTGGTCTCATCTCCAGCTCCTCTGAGATGGTTTACACAGTGAGTGCCCCCAAACACTTCAGCCCTGGATCTACTGGCAAAGAACTATCCTCTGGCACTATGGTGTTCAGTGGAGAAAACATGATCTAAGGAAAGGGCATCTCTTTGCTTATTTCTGAAAGGCTCAAGGGTTAGAATCCACACCTCTACTTTCTACAAACTGAGTATGTTATGTGGACAGCAAAGCTGCCCTAGCAGCTTCAATCACTGGCAAAATTGAGTCTGCAAGGGTGAGGGAGATGGTTCAGTGGGTTTTTTTAAGTGCTCAGAGTACAAGTTGAGGATCTATGTTCAAATTCCCATGACCCACAAAAGGCTGGAGATAGTAACATGTATCTGTAATTCCAATGTCCCTGTGGTCAGGCAGAAGGTAGAGACAAGAGAATCCCTGGATGTTCCCAGAGCAGCTCAGCTAGTACAGGCAGCAGCAAAACAAGAAGACACCCTGTGAACAGTGAAGTCTGAGACTTTGTCCTCTAACCTGAATATACGAACTGTGGCAAAGTTGCTCTTTCTCTCATACACAAAACACAGAAAGATAGATGGAGAAAACAAAACTACCCCAAAGAAATAAACAAGTATTCAGGTATAAAGGGTACTGCTTGCTGTCACCTATGAACTAAAGGACTTGGGAACAACTTCATATTTATTCCAACCTGCATACAACACACACTATAGTGTGGTATTTAGGGGCAATAATATTGAGTTGGAATTGTGAAAACTCTTCTCCCTGCTTGTTCCCTTTATAGATGGTGGCAAACCTGTCTGGATGTGAGACCATGGACTCAGAGGCCCTGGTGCACTGTCTGAGAGGCAAGAGTGAAGCAGATGTTCTGGCCATTAACAAGGTAAGTAGAATTGTGTGTGTGGTTGGACCTGGTCGACAAGATGTGGGACTCTGAACCAAATACCTCATTTCTATGACTTTGTGTTCTTTAGTTCTGTGTGATATGATAAAGCACATGGGGGACCTTGGTGGATTCCATGGCAGGCAAGGGTGACCTAGGCAGGGGGGACAAATATGCCAGGCAGATAGAGCTTAGTGAGAACTTTTATTAGAAAGGTCAAGGGGGAAGGAAAGAGAAAAGAGGTAAAGAGACACAGAGACAGAAGAGGGAGAGAGGAAAATTCCTGTCTTCCCACAGGGGAACAGTAGGAACAAGAATGGGAAAGAGAGGAGCTGGAAAGAGAGGAGCCAAAAAGAGAGAGTAGAAAGAGAGCACAAGTGGGCAGAGGTCTTCCTTTTAAAGGGGTCCTTTGCACCTGGGCTGAGCAGGGTACTGCCTGAGTGCATTCTGCCAGGTGACAGGGGCAGGCCAGCACAATGTCTTGAATCCTTTCATTTCTACCTTTATTATTAAAAAGATGAGGAGTTAGGCGTGGCAGGCTAGGGAATAAGGGTTCTCAAGACTACTTCCTGCTGACTTGGGGTCTTTCCTGGACCTGAGAAAGCTGGGATGCTGCCACATCCTGGGGTAACAGGTAACTGGTTGTTTCATCAAAGTCCGGGCTGAATGGAACTCTCTGGTGCCTCTTAGACCTGGCAAGATGTGTGCCGAGCAAAGGACAAGGTTAAGAAAAAAAATTTTCTTAAGTCCTGGTACTTGAGGGGAAGAGGATCGTAAGATGAGGGTGTTACGATAAATCTTTCTGCCAAAAGCTGCCTGAGCCCCACCGCCACGTGTGTGCTTTATGCCAGCCGCCTACCCAAGTTAGGCCCAAATAAATACACAGAAAAACTTGTATTAGTTACAATGCTGCTTGGCCAATGACTAGGATTCTCATCTGTTAGCTCAGTCTCAATTATCATACATCTATATATTTTATAAGACTTATCTTATCGGATGCCTTATTGGCGTCCCTCCTTGTTGGTGGATCACATCGCGCCGCTGGAGCAGGCGAACAGGAAAAAGGGGCGCTTAAATATGAGTCTCCTTGCTATGTCACTTCCTGCCTGGATCACACTTCTCTACTACATTTCCCAGAATCCTCTTTGACTCCTAGTCCTGTCTACTTGCTGTCTCATTGGCCAAACAGTATTTTATTTAACAATCAATAAGATTGTTAAATACACAATAGTACATTCCCCATCATGAGGGAGGGGTCACCAGGGTGGTCCCAAAATAAAAGAAGGGAGTCCTGGGGACAGGGAAAGGTTGAATGATATTTATCTGGAGTGAATCTGACCTGTATGGGTGGGTTCAATTCGGCTCCCTGGAACTTACAATAATCCACTGAGTTAGGGAGACATACATTTTAGACTCATTAGCATTTCTGTTGTTTATGATCTGCACTGAAATTTGCATTGTAGAAATGGCAGTGTGCTCATTGAAAGGTTCAGGCATTATGCTGGCCTGCCGCTGTTACCTGGTGGAACAGGCCGTATCCTGGTCAGCCCAGGGTTCCATGGGAACTAAGTCTGCACGCAGGTACAGAGGACCCCTTTAATTCCTGCCCATTTACACTCTTTTTCTCTGCTCTCTCTACACTTCTCTCACTTTACTCTCTACTCTTCTCTCTGCTTCTGCTCTTCTCTTCTCTCTGTCTCTTCTCCCTGCCCCTCTATGGCGCCCGGCCGTGGTGGTCAGCCATTAGCCATGTTCCTCTTCTTTCTTAGTCTCTCTACTCTGCCGGGCCTATAATAAACCGATTAATATGTCTAATATGTCTCTTAGTAATATGTCTCATCCGCCTCTTTTTCTTTATATCTAATTTAAACAAAAGTCTAATACCCATGTCAGAAATGATTTGGTTGAAAGCATTAACATGCTTAAAACTGACACATGCCTTTTTTTTATTTTTTTGTTTTATTTTTTAATAATTTATTTTTTACATCCCAATCCCAGTCCCCCCCCCCCCCCTCCTCCCCCCCCCCCG